TGGCCGCAGATCCGGTTCGTAACCCGAGGTAAATTTTTGTGGCCAGAGCTGGTCGCAACCCGAAAAGTTCGTTAGCAGAGGCGTTCGTAACCCGAGGTAAATTATATTCCTTGGAAACCACTAAGAGTTGTTTGATTGTGGCAGTGTACAAATTCCATCAATCAATAAATTAAGATGGGTATGGAATTAACAGCCTCGTTAAGTAATTAGGTGGATTTTATTGGATTAGGCACCCTTCAGATGCACGATCAAAATTGTCTCAATAACTGCGGTTTACTGGCTAGGTATACAAAGCTATAACAAAAAGGAAAAACAAGAAAATTCTCTTCATCACTGGCACAATAAAGGTTTTCAAATAATTTAATTATATTGCTCTGATTAATTGGGCTAGGCAGTGCTTTGGATTTGATTCCCAAATGATTCAGAGGGCCCAGGTGCAAAGGAGCCATTGCCCCATCTCTTCCAAGCAACTATGTCTTAGATACAGCTTCTTTAAAGAGCTGCAGGTGGGTGTTACCACACTCTTTTGCTCCTGACCAGCTCAGAAGCACCATTTCCAAATTATCTTGAAAACTGTGATGGAATGGACTTATGAAGGCCATGCTCAGGGAGATAAGCGTGTTCTTAGTTCACAGCAGGAGCGTGGGAGATTCAAGAAGATGAGGCTTGCACCTCCCTAAGGAATTCACAGTGTTGTGGCTGGCTGGCTTGGGAAGCTAGGGTTCAGTCTGGGAAGATTTCTGTCTGGTGGTTGTAGCTAATAAACACAGCAGAACTGGATTTCCATTGTCTCTTGGAGTTCTTTGGGCTGAACCTGACATCAATCTTCCCAGACTCAACCCTAGCTCCCAAGCCAGCCTGCCACAACACCGTGAATTCCTTAGGGAGGTGCCAGCCTCATCCTCTTGAATCTCCCACGCTCCTGCTGTGAACTAAGAACACACTTATCTCCCTGAGCATGGCCTTCATAAGTCCATTCCATCACAAAAACACTGCACAACTCTACTATTGAACAGGGGAAAAAGTATATATACAATGATATTTACAGTGGAGTTAACATCAAAATTAATTTTAGAAAAGGATGACAGTCTAAATAAAAAATAAAAAGGAAATGTCTAGCTTGTAATGTTGATATTACCTGGTGGTCTCCCATCCGAGCACTAAACAGGTCTGACTCTGCTTACCTCTTTGAGATCAGCCAAATTCAATTTATGTAATTTTAATTTAAACTGTAAATCAAAGGGAATGAAGTATAGTTTTTTCCTAGCCCCACTCACTTCATTATCTTGGCCCGTGAATATTTTGGAAGGTGGCTCCCAGCACACCCGTTAAAGCTGTGGCCCTCATCTTTAAAAAAGTCGGGCCCCCTTGGTTTTAATGATGTTTATTGCATTTAACATCACTAAAACCAAGGGGTGTGACTTTTTTAAAGGCCTCAACAACTCTGACAATGCTTTGGCCTGGTTCCAGAAATATCTCAGTGATGGAGCCAGGCGAGTGTCTCTGGGGAGGGAGAACAGGGAGGGATCAAAAAGTCAAGATGGTTAACCTCTTAGAAATCATATTTAACACTGATATAAACTTTTTTTCTCATCATTAAAGGTTTCATTGATCTAAATCATCACAGTATTAACAGCCCCCAGTTTCTGTTGTATAAATGCCACTGTACTCACTTATGATCTGTATTCTATAAAGTTTGTATTTTATAATGCAATAAAACAAGTAACTTGGGGGGGGAAATTAAGCTTTTTAAAAAAAGTCAAGACAGTGGCTCCAACTGCAGATCCAACCACCATCTTGACTTTTTTGACCCCACCCTGTTGGCGCCTCTGACCAAAAGTGCTCCGAAACTGGTCCAGAGAACTGTCCCTGGGAAAGTGCTTCTCCCTTGTTGCAACCTGTAAACCTCTGACAGAAGGAATATCAGCTTGAGCTTTTAATTGCTGGTTTCATGTTTATTGATTTATTAGCTTGGGCTCCTGGATGTTCTTCTCTAACGTGAATGTGCAAAAACAATGAAAAGAGTAAACATTTTACATCGAGGGTTATAGGACATCCTGCACTGAATGGATGTGGGTAGTCTTCACCTGACTGCATATCCCCCAGATTTTGCTCCCACAGCCATCACATCCTCATCCCCATGGCCATTGCTTGGGAGATGATAGAGGTAGACACCCAACACATCTGGAGAGCATGATCTGGATCGAAGTCTACCAACAACAACATTCTGCCCCTGATCTCTGCGTGTGTAGCTTGCAGCTCTGTGTGATTATTGGCAGGATCCCCAAGGGAACCGTTTGTTCCAGTGGACAGATGTGGAACTCAGCCTGGGCCTCACCCAGATGTCCTTCTCTCTGAGTTCTGAACCTCGCCAAGGTACCTACAGAGTGGTGGTCCAGAAAGCCTCCGGAAAAATGGTGGAACATACTTTTGATGTGGAGGAATATGGTAAGGAATCCATGTCTCCCTTTAGCCAGATAATTGGAGACCAGGGATACCACATCTACTTGGTCTCTTGAAATGGGTGATGGCTCTTTGCTGAAGAGTCGGCAAGTGGGAAGGAGGAACTCCCTGATAAAAGCTTGGCCCCGGGCCCCTGCCATTCCCCTTCCCTGGATCTTGACCTCTCTTGGGATTTCACGGGCACACCTTGGGTACAGAAGATGCTCTACTGCAGATAGAAGCAACCTTCGTAGGACCAAGAGCAGTTTTAGATATCCTAAGAATCTGGGACCAAGGGAGGTTCACAGAAGTCAAGATGGCAGCTTTGATTGCACAGTTGTAGGTGACATCTTGATGTTTTTCAACCCAGCCAGTGGATGTCCGTATCTGGTACTATATGCGTATGGTCCAAAATCTAAATTTGAAGCTCTCTTTCTCCTGCACTTTCAAAATGGCCTTCTTGCAGACTGTTTCTCATACTGAGCCTGGCCTGTGATTACAAAATGATCTGACCTGAGCCCAGATTCTTTGTTTTCTGCCTTGCCTATTCTCCCCAAAACATTAGCAAACCAGAAGAAGAACCTCAACTTCCCACAGTGGCCAACCAGGTACCTCCTTCCTCCTTCTATCTTCTCCTTTCCTCTCAACTTCATTGCTTTCTCTTCTCTTCTTGGAGAGAGTAAAGAGGATGATCTTGAGGGCGAGAGGGAAGATCCATCATCAAAGCAGCCCAAGCGAGCTCTTCAGCCTCTCTCAAAAGAGAGCAAGACTTGCGAGATCGATGTCAGCCCTGTAAGGCAGACCAGGCCAAGAAAGAAACTCCACTGAAGACTAAAGCTACTTTTCTTTAGATTGGCTGTACTGTAGCGACGTAATCTTCCAAATCTGATTGTGCCTTGACTCCTCCCTTTTTTATCTCCATGTGAATTAGGGGGGTGTTTGTCTGACATTGTTGTAATCTTCCCCCCTCACTTGGACTCAAGCAATGTTTTCCCTCCTGTTGCTTTGGTAATGGATCTTCCCTTTCTCCATCAAGGTTCTTCTCTTCCCTCTTTACACTTCTCTTCTCTCAACGTCATTCCCTTCCCTTCCCTTCCCTTCCCTTCCCTTCCCTTCCCTTCCCTTCCCTATTCTTAGCTTCAATTATCCTCCCTCAACTTCTCATCTCCTTTCAACTGTACTTCTCTTCTCACCTTCCATGATCCCCTCCCCTCCCCTCTCCTCCCCTCCCCTGGAATAGATGTTGACAGGAATGGCCTCAATGACTCTATCCAGCTGTATGATTCTATGATCCTTTGAAACGCCCACATACCTTCTCAGCAGGTTCCCAGCCAGCTCAGTCAAAGAGCCTTCCATCCGTGGGAAGGAATCCATTTGAATACAATGCCTATCACATCACCTAATGCATATTACATCATTCGATGTCGTCACCTTGTGAATATTGTACTCGATTGAAGGGTAAGCCACTGAATAATTGATTATGTTTTTTGAATACTCTCTGCTGATGCTGTTCTTCCCCTTTCACCTACGTAGTATTACCCAGATACGAGGTTTCAGTAAAGGCTCCCAAGATCATATCCATTATGGCCACCGAAATCCAAGCAACCGTTTGTGGAAAGTGAGTTTTAATTCTTCCCTTTTCTGAACCAGAGGAGGGTAACCTGGGATGGTCTCAATTACCCTCAGCCTCTTGATTTTCCCTCATCTGCCATCTTGTCTACTGACTTCTGCCTGTCAAAAGCAGGAAAAGGGAGAACCAGACTTGGTTTGCCTTTTAAACCCATTTAATCAGCACATCCTTCTAATACAGAAGCATACATCAGAGAAGGGCAATGTGTTTGCTTCTGCAGGTGCACTTACACAGAGATTTATTTGCAATTATTACTTATTTGTTATTATTAGTAAGTGTACATGGCCACCTATCTTATGTACATAACTCTGGGCAGTTAACAGCAATTCACAAGACAACAATAAAATACAACCTTTATGTACAAAAGAAAAGCCCTAATGCAAATAACCAGGGCGCTGTTCAACAAACTCAGAGAACGAAGCACACATATGTAACTGGACTCATCGAACTTCCTGGTCTGTGGCTTGGGGAAAAGGCAGGTCTGCATGGCCTACCAGAGGCTTTGGAGAAACCAGCAAGGATTGGGGTTCCTACCCCAGGGAAGCCAGGTTATGTCTTTTTGTCAATTTTCCACTAGTTGGTAAGGACGACCCCCCTCACAGGGTGGTTGTTGTGGGGAAAATAGGAGGAGGAAGGAGTATTAGCCATGTTCGCCACCTTGAGTTATTTATAAAAAGTAATAAAGGCGGGATAAAAATCTAATTAATTAATTAATTAATTTTAAAAAACACCAGTTTTGCTGACCCTGCATTGGTTGTCCATCAGTTCTGGGATACAATTTAAGGTGCTGGTTTTATCCTATACTGCAAAGCCTTTGATGGGTTGGTGAACCGATAGCTGCAGGACCATCTACTCCAACCGGCGCCCATCGAACCAATCAGATCAAACAGGGCGAAACTGTTACTGGACCCACATTTGGGGGAGGTTCAGAAGCAAGAAAGTTCAATAAATGTTGAAAATTGAACAGCTGATGGGGTCAAGAAAAGAAAATTCACCAGTCATCCCACCCTCCACCCATCACCTTGTTTAATCTGTGTCTGCTTCTGAACATAGGTATACCTATGGGAAACCAGTCCCTGGTCTGATCAGCGTCAAGCTTTGCCGTCCGTTTCAGTTTTATGGAAGCAGTTGTTATGGGAAAGAGGGGGAAGCCTTGTGTGAAGAATTCAGTGGGGAGGTGAGTCTCAAACCTGAAGTTTGGCCCCTGCAGACATCTGGTCACGGCTGTTAACGGGTTCACCATCACATATTGGGTCTCCTGGATGCCAGTCCAACACCTTTACCGCTACCACATGCTGGTTCCTAGTATCCAGGTCTGGACCCTGCATTTTAAGGAGGATGTCAACAAACTGGATCTCGTCCAGGGGAGGGACCATAGAAAGATGGGGGGGGGTCTGGAAATCAAGGGCCAGCAAGAAAGATCAAAGCCTCGGGTCATCTCAGACCCAAGAAGTGGATTGCAAGTATTTGAAAGGTCGCTGCATAGATGGATTGGATTTATTTTCCACTTCTCCAGGCTGTAGGAACTGCACTAGACAGAATCAAGGATAAGAAAGGAGATTTCAGACAAATGGAGAAGGACATTCTGGCTGGAATAAGATGTTTTCTTGATGGTGGACCAGGTTGCCCCAGATGTTGGGTTTGCTTTCATTCATGATCATGAGCATCTTTCAGGAGCAACTTTAGTCTAACTCTTTAGCTGCAAGAGGGTCAGAGAACAGCATCAAAGAGGACCGGAGACTAGAAACTGTGCCTTCTGAAAAGAGGCTGAAAGGGCTGATTATGTCTAGTTTTGAGAGAAGATGGTAAAGGGAAGATTTGTGTGTGTGTGTGTGTGTGTGTGTGCCTTTGAGTCAGTGTTGACTCCTGGCGACTGCCTGGACAAGTACTTGCAGTTTTCTTGGCAAGGTTTTTGGAAGTGGTTTGCCCTGGCCTCCTTCTTCCTGGGGCTGAGTGAGAGGGACTGGCCCAAGGTCACCCAGCTGGCTTTGTGCCCAAGGCAGAAACAGAACTCAGGATCTCCCAATTTCTAGCCTGGTGCCTTCACCACTACTCCAAACGGGCTCAAAGGTCCTCTTCAAATACTCAAAAGAGTGTCAAATGGAAGAAGATCAAGACTCTTCCCTCTTATTCCAGACTGCAGTATCATAAGTGTCTTCCTTCCTTTCTTTCTTTCTTTCTTTCTTTCTTTCTTTCTTTCTTTCTTTCTTTCTTTCTTTCTTTCTTTCTTTCTTTCTTTCTTTCTTTCTTTCTTTCTTTCTTTCTTTCTTTCTTTCTTTCTTTCTTTCTTTCTTTCTTTCTTTCTTTCTTTCTTTCTTTCTTTCTTTCTTTCTTTCTTTCTTTCTTTCTTTCTTTCTTTCTTTCTTTCTTTCTTTCTTTCTTTCTTTCCTACATTGTTCCAATCAGACTGACTTTGACTAGGTTATGAGTTCCCCCATACAACAATCAAGTTAAAAACAACCAAGTAGCCTAAATCAAAATTAAACAACATTCCACCAACATGGTGCCACGATCTCTGTGGAAACGTCCACCCATTCCATTTTCCCAAACCCTAAAGGATGTGAGTAGAGATGGGGCCAGCCTTATCTCTGGGAGCAGCCTGTTCCAGAACAGGCTCACCCCCAGGGTCCTTGCAAATGATTGTCCATAGGGGCCAGGACCACCTCAAGCCATCCTGTCCTGATCTGTTGGATGGACAACTTCAAGTTATGGTTCAAGTTACAGGAAGGCAGATTGTAACTGAATGTTGTAACAATGTTGTTGACCGAGTATGGTGCAATTTTCTCAGAGTGGTGGTGAGTTTCCTTTCACTCAATGGATTCCATTGGAGGCTACACAGCCATCAGTCTGGGAAGTTGGCTGGCCCCTTAGTGGCCTGGTGTGGCCCTTATCGGCCTCTTGGATTTTTTAGCCTTTTTATCTTTGTAAGTCTGGTTTTTATAACTTTTAATTATGAATTTCTGATTTTAGTTTGTTGTAAGCCACCCAGAGTCCCCCGTTGTGGGGAGATGGGCGGGGACAAGTCTATTAAATAAATAAATAAATAAATAAGTTCAAATTTGGATTTCTGCATGGAGTGGACTAATGGCATCTGCCAACTCTCCATAATGAAGTTGGCTGGCCCCTTAGTGGCCTGGTGTGGCCCTTATCGGCCTCTTGGATTTTTTAGCCTTTTTATCTTTGTAAGTCTGGTTTTTATAACTTTTAATTATGAATTTCTGATTTTAGTTTGTTGTAAGCCACCCAGAGTCCCCCGTTGTGGGGAGATGGGCGGGGACAAGTCTATTAAATAAATAAATAAATAAATAAATAAATAAATAAATAAATAAGTTCAAATTTGGATTTCTGCATGGAGTGGACTAATGGCATCTGCCAACTCTCCATAATTCTATTGTCTGGGCAGCAAAATTATGATCAGGGTTATTGCTAATGGTACTCAATCCAATTTACACTGATAACCTGAGACATGTTGCTTTCCCATGCAGGCGGACATCCATGGCTGTCTCTCTCAGACTGTTAAAACTAAATTATTTCAGCTGAAGCAGACAGAATTCCAGATGAGCATTGAAGTCGAGGGCAAGATCACCGAAGAAGGCACAGGTTGGCATAGAATGATCCGGGATGGGCTTGGAATGGGCTATGATTCAGAAGAGAGCAGCTCCTTTGATGCCAAAGGCCCTGGGTTCAGTTCTTGGCATCTCCAGGAACAGCTGGGAAAAACATCTGGAACCCCTGGAGAGGTTCTACACCCCACAGCAGGGTTTCTCAGCCTTGGTAACTTTATGATGCATGGACTTCAACTCCCAGAATTCCCCAGCCAGCAAGGGGCAGCTCTGTTCAGAAGGTACTAGGGTTAGTCCAGTTTTTAACTGAGAATAATATAGAATAACATAGCAGTCAATGGGAAAGATTCTGCATGACCCATTTCCAGGAACAATAAACCAGCAGCATGTAAGGATCAGCCTAAATCTCTTCTTTCCCAGGATCACAGATTTCATTTTTCTTATATACTATTCCAGTGTTTCTCGACCTCAGCAACTTTAAGATGTGTGGACTTCAACTCCCAGAATTCCCCCAGCCAGCATGCCGGCTGGGGGAATCCTGGGAGTTGAAGTCCACACGTCTTAAAGTTGCAGAAGTTGAGAAACACCGTACTATTCCATTCCATCAATCTGCAAAATTGGCTGCAAAAAGAAACAGTCAAAAATTAAAACCTGTGCCAGAACTGCCTGTACATCCGTAGATGTTCTTGCATACAGTTTTCTGCAATAACTTAGGTGTCACCTTCTCTGAGTTACAGTCTGGGGAGCCTATTTTGAGCAGGGTGTAAACACTGCAAGCAGGCTATGCTTACAAATACCCTTCCCTGCCACAGCAGGATCTGTTTTGACATATGACGCCTACTTCCTCACCCCTGAAATCCAGGCCAATTTCTTTTAAATTGTCAGCAAACAGGATCCACAAGCATCTTGCAGCTTTTCAGGAACCGGGAGTCAATCATAACCTTCCCAAGGACAATCTGCTTAGAAACTTTAGCTTAGTCGAAAGGAATAAACGTGACAGATGTTGTGGGCGAATGTGTGTTTTTACAGGGGTGGAATTAACCGGCAAAGCTTCCATTGAGATTACTCCGGTCCTCAGCACCGTTACTTTTGAAAAGATGGACACTTATTTCAAACCTGGGATCCCTTATTTTGTGCAGGTAAGGTAAATGAATAGACCATCATGGAGGATTGATTGCAAAACACATCCTAATTGGAGTGCGAGAAAAATTGCTACGGAAGCGATCAATTATTACAAGCTGTTTTGCTCATTGGGAGCAATTTGGTCCATTTTACTATGCACATTAACAGAGACTACTAGTCTAATCCGTCCCAGCCTTTTTATAGATTAAAAAGAACCCTCAATCCGTAAAAAAATTAAAATGCATATTTCCTGGATACCGTTCTTGGTCATTCATTCATTCATTTATTCATTCATTCATTCATTCATTCATTCATTCATTCATTCATTCAATTTATACAGCCGCCCGTCTGGCTTACAAAGTTAAATAACATTTCCATGTTTTTTTGTTTTTTTTTTTTGTATTATTAAAAAGAAAGCTCAAAAAAAAGAAGAGGGGAGGGGCAGGGGGAACCACTGCTTCTCA